CACACACACACACACACACACACACACACACACACACACACATACACACACACACACAGAAAACGCAGCAGAACAGACACAGACTCAGAATTCTCAGAACATAGACCCAAAGAACATTTTCTCATAAACTGCAGGAATCTCAGACTGTGATTTGTGTGGGTCATTGCACTCCCACCAGCCCAGATGTGAGTTCCCCCTGAGCTCATTCAGGCTCAGGGTGATGGAAAGCTTTGTAGGCACAAATTGCAAACATGGCTCTCGTTTGTTCATCTGTGAGTAGGCTTCAGAGGACTACTACATTTTTCTTTGACCCTTTTTTTTTGGGTTCTGAACTCGCCCGCATAGGGACCAAAAGGGTTTTTCTCAACCCATAACTGTCGTCATTGGAGGTGCACTTTTATGTCTTGACAGCAGGGTGGACTGCTCCACGCTGTCCACAGTCACAACACCAGTCTTGTGTTGGTTAGCACAAGGGGAGGGATTGTGAAATCCAGAAGAAGGGTGGGCAGGGTTCCCCCCCCACCGCGGGGAACACCTCTGCGGTCCTGAGGCTGTCATTCTCTCGTCGGTTTCTCTATACCACATGTTCGCAGTGGCGCAGTGAGCTTGTTTTCCTTTCCCCCAAAGCTGTCATTTGGGGGTAGATCTCATGACATAGACTTCGCTTTACTCGGGACCTGAACGAAGTTCTCTTCGCAGATTGGCTTTGGAAGTAATCGTTCTTTGCGTAACGAACCAAGTGCCTCAGGAATGATGTCTATTTTCTCCTTCTTTTCACTCCGAAAGGGAATACTACCTCCACGCCAAACTAACCTATCGTGCGTGGCATCCTGCATGTTGTACTCACCCAAACTACCTTATCCTTAAAAAAAAAAAAAAAAAAAAAAAAAAAAAAAAAAAAAAAACCTATCCTGTGTGGCATCGTGCATGTTGTACTCACCCAGCTGGCAGGTGAGTCTCTTTGCTCTAGTAACTACCAGATCCCCTCCCTTCTATGAACAATATCACTGCCGCCTTGAAAAAAAAGCCCGGGAGGAGGGGGGGGAGTAGAGGGGGACTGGAGAAATGATATGACTGAAGGTCGCATTTGATCTTGTGAAAACAACAACAACAGCAAGAGGGCAAAAGAAAGGGGGGTGGGGGAGGAGGAGAAACGGGAAAGAAAGAAACAAAAAAAGGAAATCCGAGCTTCCAAGTTATGGCAAATTGCCCAATTCTTTGGTAGCATTGTTAGCCTGTGGAGCCCACAAAACTTTGAAAAGGTATTTCAGCAGACTTTCAGATTCAGGGAAAGGACCCACCAATGTGATGTTTGTGTTGATGATGCAGGATGTAACCATTAAAAAAGCCAGGTTCTTGCTTGGGCTGCACAAAACCAAGACCAGCGTTCCTTGCTCCTTAGTGTGCTCTTCTGAGGGAGGGTGTAAAGCGGAAGGTCTTTTTGCCTTTTTCCCTAAACAACTATGACCCTTCCCTTGCCAAGCCTAGAAACACCCTGCGCAACAAAAACAACAACGAGGCGGCGCGTTTTGTTTTTGGGTGGCGCCTTCAGCCATTCAGCTCCAGTGGGCCGTGCTCCAAAAGTCGTGGCACATCAGTGACCTCGTTGGAGAAAAATGGCTGGGAAACGCACTAGTGGTTCAAGGCTGCAACCCATGTGTTTATATATATATGTATATACAGGGTTGCAAAAAATCTGAAACAAAAAAAAAATGTTATGCAGAAGAATAAACTAAACAACATTTGCCTCAACATCACATCCAAATTCCCTATTGAGTGGGCGAGCATGTTTTTGACACCGCCATCTTCGGCAATTTTTCATTTTTTGTTGGCTGTGACAAATGCCATGAAAATTTATATATGTGTATCTTACATAATAGAGAATCTACAAATAAAGTTTGAAATAATAATAATTTTTTAATTTTTTTTCATGCCCCGAAATAAAAGAAAAACAAAAAGTTAAAAGAGAGAGAAAACAAATTAGCGAGTGCCGATTTTTCATTTTTTTTTGGATAAACAGAATGGCTTCAAAATTAAGAGGGAGATACCTTACATCACAAAGAACTGGCAAAAAAAAAAACAGAAAACAATAATAATATTTAGGTGCCAAAGTATTTCAGGTTCAGCCCCCGTACGGGGACCCGAACGCCCGAACGTTCGGGGGTCAGCTTAGGGTGCTACGGGGTGGACGGATGTGGCTGGACGGATGTGGCTGCTACGGAAGGCAAGTTGATCCAGCTCCCGCATATTGCCTTCCGTAGCAGCCACATCAACTTGCCTTCCGGGGTTGAGACCTTGCCAGTTTAGATGACCCCTTTCTGTCGGCGGGGGGGGCCTGCACCTCCTGTACTGGGTCCAACTTGCCTTTATTAAACCACCAGCGCTTCCGAAAGTATATGGCCGCAATGCGCTGGGCCGAATGGGCTGGCGGCTCCGCTCCAAATTTATGCATGCGGAAACGTTGCGGCTCTGTTTTTGGCCACGGCCCATGTATGGGCGAAGTACTGGCGATTTAATGCAAGGAGTTTGTCTTGAAGACTCAAACTGATACCAACTGTGGCACATACAGTTTAGTTCAACGCTATATAATATATAGCTGCCACATAAAAAAAAAACTTTTGCCATTCTCCATTTCACTTTCAACTTAGGGGCTCGTTAGACACTCCTAAAAGAATCCTAAAACTTTTAGGACGAGTCCTAAAGGTTTTTCAGGATTTTGTGCGTCGTCGTTACACGCAGTCCTAAAAATCATCTTTTAGGAATCGTCCTAAAAGGTCTCCCGCGGCCGGTTTTCATATGCGTATACGCAGCCGCGCCGCCGATGTCCGTCCCTTCCTGGATGTTGTCCGTGGTACACACTGCGGAGGCCCTAGGGCGGAGGAAAAAGGGGTGGGTGAAAAGCGCGGTCCCCCCGAACTTCAAAAGTTCAAATTTGAATTTTTGCGGACGCAGGATAGCGCGGCGGAGGACGGCCAGGCGACGCGTGTGACGTTCAAAAGACGGCGGTGGCGAAGCGTACGCCGTGGGTATCCGTCTTGTGATTCTGCGCAACTTGTGACCAGCGGGCGCATCTTCGTGGTGGGCGCTTCTTCACCTACGTCGTGCGCGCTGCCCTGTGGAAGCGTGGAGCAGCGGGCGCGTCTTCGGCTGCGCTGTGCGTCATCTCCTGTGCCGTCGTACACGAGCGGCCGCATCTTCGGCACCGGCGTGCGTCGTGAAAGTGGCGGTTTTCAGCAGCGGGCGTTTGCTTGGCGGTTGTGGCAGACATCTAGCTATGGAGAGCATGGGGTTCTCGGATATGGACGTTTGCGGGCGCGGGCAGGGTCTTCGGGATGACGAAATCGACGTGGTGGCGATGGCCGTGACTGCCGTCGTCGTGAACATGATGCGCGGTGTGCCGTCCTCGTCACGCGACATGCTGGCGGAGCTCCGCAAACGAAGAGCGTTGTTGTAGCGCATTGGCGAAGCGCCAGATTGCGTGGCCACGTGTAAGGCAGTCATCCAGTTGTGCGGCGTGCTGTCTTCTGGCGTTTTCCCGCGGGAGACCCCGCGCTGGTGGATTAAACGACGGACTGGCGGAACATGGGAGGACCTCCGCCTGTGTGATGACGCGGCGGACGAGTACTACCGTCAGAAGTTGCGCATGTCGATGGCCATGTTTAGGCAGATCGTGGCCGCGTGCACCGCGTACGTGGAGAAGAAGGTCACTATAGGATGCCATTGCCAGTGGAGCAGGTCATCGCGTTCGCGCTGTACAGGTGGGCGTCAGGAGAGACGTATGAGAGCGGCACGTCTGCCTTTGGCATCGGGAGAGCAACTGGACTGCAGGCCGTCCGCGACGTCACTTCGGCACTGCTGCAGGCGTACCCAAACACGATAAAGTGGCCAGTGGGCCGTAGACACGCGCAGATTCTGCGCGCTTTTCGTGACAAGGGTTTCCCTAACTGCTTCGGCGCAATCAACTGCACACACATCTTCATTGACAAGCCCGCCGGCGCACCATCTACCAACTACTACGACTGCAAACAAAAGTTTTCCATGCAGGCGCAGGTGGTAGTGGATTTGGATCTGCGGATCATGGATGTCCACATCGGATACCCGGGAAGCGTGCACGACGTCCGTGTCCTGCACAATTCCCAGTTGTGGAGGCGTGCACAAGCTGGTGAGCTGTTCGACGCACCTCCGGTGAGTCTGCCGCACGGAGTTGTCACGCGAGGTTGCCTGCTAGGTGACAATGGTTATCCTGTTGTCTGCCCCTGGATCGTGCAGCCGTACGGAGGAATCGACCAAGGTCCTGACGAGGAGCGGTTTGACACGCGGCAGAAGGTGGCGCGGGGGTGTGTGGAGAGAGCTTTCGGGCGGCTGAAGTGCATGTGGCGTCTTTTCTTGCGCACCCACAAGACGAACCTGGATACCTTGCCGCAACAATTTGTGGCAGTGTGCACTCTGCACAACATCCTCCTAGATGTCGGGATCAACTTCGATGGAAACCTGTTGTGGGAGGTGGATGAGAATGGTGTGCGCCGGAGAGTGGACTTGGGCATTGTGGGGAACGGCGCGGGCGGGCGGCAACGTTGCATGAACGTCGACGGGGACTTGTTGCATGACGCTCTTCGAGACCGGCTGGCTTTGATGTAGGAGCACGTAGACGCGTGGTGGGGGTTTGGTGCGTGTATGTGTAGGGTGTGTGTGTTTCGGGGGTGTAGGGATTGTGGACGTGGGTCGGTGCGATCGGTAGGAGGGTTCATATTTTGAAGTGGCCCGTGGCCCGTGGTCGTGGTCCGCGAAGTAGCTGTGTGTAGAGCGGACGGATGCATGGTCGTCGGTGATGACTTCGTTTGCTGTGTTCGTCGTGTGGATGGTTGTGTGGTTTGCACGTACGTGCGAACATTTAATATTGGAACGACCTTTTTTTCCCCCTGGTATCAGTCGCTTCAATTTTTTTATTTTTATTTTTCTTTTTGAATGGATTGAGCTTCCAGCTGCAATTTGTATGTTGTTCTTTTGTGTCATCGGCGACTCGCTTGACTGCATTGCTATCATGCGGTGGGAATTGCTATTTGTTTGGCTCCTCAGTTTTATGTGTTTCATGAAATCTTGTTCGTTTCAGGACGAGTCTTTTTTTTTTTTCTTTTTTTCTTGCAATGTTTTTGTAAATTTTTTTGTTTGTCTCAATTATTACGTCAGTTCGTCTGTCACGATCGTTTTCGTGTGCTGTTGGTCGACCTCATACAACGATCTTTTTCGTCAGTTCGTCCGTCACGATCTTTTTTGTGAGCTTCACAAAATGCTGTCGAAAACATTGATGATAGTTGGTCGACCTCATACAATGAATACAAAGCGCATTTCAGGGACGTCATCTTCGGTTGTGTGCATGCATGCGAGGCAAACATATTTTGATCATCCATCGCAGAGAGGATAACAACGTTGCGAAGGTGGAGGGCAGACAAACAAAGAAGACTAAAGAAAAGGTGCGGTGAAAGTGCTTTCGAATTGCATGTCGATCGAACTGCGATGAAAAACACAAAACACATCGAGCAGACAAACAAAGAAGACAAAAGAAAAGGTGCGCTGAAATCGCTTACGATTTGCTTGTCGATCCAACTGGGATGATAAACACAAAACACACGAGTGTCTTTAACGTACCCGTCGTCGACTACGACGACCTGCACACTACACATCTGCACTAAACGTTGCACACACGAAATCAACCAATCAATCGGGTTTCGCCGCACTGCCGACGCGCTAAGACCCCCCCCCCTCTGCGGTGACGAAACCGCTATAAAGTCGCTCGCATGCAAAGAGGAAACTGCATGACCGGCCACGTGTCCACTCGCCCGCGTTCACACAACAGCAAGCCCACCCGGATACCTACCTACTCACCCGCCCAGTCGTACCGCCCACCTCCCCCCCCTCTAGGCGTCACCCTTGCCGTCGTCGACGTTGTCATCATCGGCGGGCCCCGAACCCAACCAATCGAGCTTCTTAGCTTCCTCCGGCCCGTCAATCCTTGCGTCGTGTCCGAACACAATGCCGCGGTCTGCCCATCGAGGAAGGTAGTTGGGGTGCTATCCAAACGTGGCGTTTGCCTTCCCGAGCCTTTCCGTGATGACTTTCACGGCGAGGGGAACGGATCGACGATGATCGAACGACCGATGCATGGACGCCATGAGTGTGGGCTTCGACACCAGCGTCGTGAAGTAGAAAGCTTTGAAGTGGCTGCGCGGATCGTCTCCCGCCATGCGCACTATCCACATTCATGCCACCAACAACAGTCTAAAGCAGTCAGCCACCCGACAAAGACGATCGTGTGAGATGAACTCGCCGTCGATGACCGCCCCCATTTGCACTGCCTTCCGGAACGCATGCGCGACGCAGATGATGGTGGACTCCTGGTACGCCGCCATGTCATCGTCGTCCGGTCTGTTCTCGACGTTCACGCCCGCGAACCACAGCGGCAAGTCCATGGAGAGATCTATTGTGTGTGCGCAAACCGCAGGGCTGACGACGTTGCACCACTCCTCGCCGTACCACATAGCTCGCACTATGTCCGTCGCCACGGACTCCAGCGCGTACTGGAAAGCAAGATTGTAACCCCTCGGGCGGTTCACGGACTTGAAAACCCAGCCGTGCAATACGCAGAGAGCGATGTTCTCCACTGCCGACGCATGGGAGGTCGCTTGTTGCAGCTGCGACGGGTCGGCGATCCTGGCTATTCGTGTGATGGATTTGGGCATCACAACGCTCCGAGGGATCGCAGGCGGTGGAAGTCCGCTGGCTATGGCGACAAAGTACTCTCTTGTCTCGTGTACGATGTTGTAGAGTCTTCGCCCCTCCCCCATCGTCCAGAAAGGTTTGTCGTCGACCGAAAGGACGACACAGTCTACGAGGTCATTTGACAACACTCCCCTACGCGGCCTGTTCGAACCACCTTCGCCGCCCTCCCGATCACTCCTCTTCTCTCCACGCGCGTCGTCCCTCGCCATCGCCACAACTGCTCCCTCCTCTTTCGCCGCCGGAACTGGGGGCGCACTGCCTGAAACACCCGCAACCGCGCCCGCCGCACCTGCCGCCTCAACCCCAACTGCGCCCGCGTGCGCCGCGACTACCCCACCACCGCCTCGTTGGACGGACCCTCCTTCAGCAGCCGTGTTGCGAGGGCGTGGCGCAGCCGTGATGGCGGGCAGCCTACCCGTGACTGTCGTTTCTCCAGCGAGAGCGTGGCCCGAAGCCGCCGGCGGCGGGGTGCCTGCTGTGTGACTGCGCAGGTGGCGTCTTTCCAAGGGCTCGTCATCGTCGTCACCAACATCGTGGACGTCAGCGTTATCAGTCCGCCTGTCGCGGGCGCGCACTTGTTTCGTATCGGGTGGAGGGGTCATCAGCCTTTTCGAAGCGCTGTGATGAGATTGTCGTTGCCCTCTACTCTCCCGAACTCCAGACGTAGTCGCCTGTGCCTGATCTTCGCCAGTCGCGAAGTCGTCGTCGTAGTCGCCCCCCACTTCTGCCGCCCAACCTTGCGCTCCTCCAAGAGGGACCCTTGTCGACGCATCGTCTGACCGTAGCCTCTTCGCCTTCGGGACATGCCTCCGACCTTTTCCATCACTTGGCTGTCGTCAGGCAGTCCTTCGCGCTTCTTCCCACGGCCCGTCCCTCGTGCAGACATGTTCCCTCGCGACCCGTGTACGTGAGCCACCCGACCCGTTCTGAAGACCGCCACGTGTCCACTCGCCCGCCGTTAAAAGCCTGCCAGTTGGCAGATCTGACGACGACAATGACTCCCGCGGCGGACTGTCGTGACGAAGAAGGAAAGCCGCACGACGCAAAAGATCTGCCAACCGAAGGAAGAAGAGGTCGACTTGCGCGTGACAGACAGAAGGACGACGACGGCGGCGAGAGCGCTCGACCGGGAATAGGTTGGAGATGACAGCAGTGAGAAGATCGTCGACGACGGCGCTCCGCGGCGAAAAGACTGACGGGCGACGTCCGCGTGCACGGCAGAAGGACGGCGACTCCCGCGACGATCGTCCCCGTCACTAGACGGTTACGAAGGCTTCAACGGCGGAAGTCGGCATTCATCCGCGGCGAGAAGGTCATGGCGCTCTCGTGTCGACAACCTGGCGTGAACAGCACGCGCGGTGGGCTTCAGCACAGGTGTGCGCAGTTGGGGACGACAGTCGTGCGGCTTCGGGTGCGCAGATTTAAAGTGATCTGATCGCGGTGGACCGCCCGCGACGCAGCGTCCCACTTCGCGGGAAACTGCATCGCCAAGGGTGGCACGCGCGACCGCCTAGGCTATACGTGGCGTGTCATTTCGCTCTTCCCCGACGCGCGAAATGACCCTTCTGCATCCCTGGCGACGCGCGTCACATCACTAGCCAGGGAGCAAAATGAAGACCAAGCACCACCCGCCGTGCACGTCGAAAATAAACCCCCCTACCGATCGCTATGACTCACGTCCGCAATCCCTACCG